TAAACATAATGAAATCTATACACCTAAAAAAGATAATCAAGAGAGCAGACATGGGGTAAGATTATCAATCCTCGTTTAGAAAGACAGATGGGATGCACATTGAACGTATGACAGGAGTCTACTGAGCGCATTTGAAAGACTCTAACTAGCAGTGTTTTCAAAGCAAAGACTCATGACCAAACCTTTGGCAGAGTACAGGGAATCATAAGAAAGAAGGGGAGTTAGTCTGATGAGAAAAGGATAGGAGCTCCACAAGGAACAAATATATCTGGGCACAGGGTCTTTTCTGAGACTGACATGCAACCAAGGATCATGTTTGAATGTAACCTAGAACCTCTGCTCAGATGTAGCCTGTGGTAGCTCAGTAACCAATTGGCTTCCCATAGTGAGGGGAACAAGGACTATTTCTAACAGGAACTCAATGACTGGCTCTTTGGCCTCCCCACCCCCCAAGGGAGGAGCAGTCCTGTTAGGCCACAGAGGAGAGCTTTGCAGCCAGTCCTGAAGATACCTGATAAAACAGGATCAGATGAATGGGGAGGAGGTCCCCCCTATCAGTGGACTTGGCAAGGGGCACGGTGGAGAGGAGGGAGGGAGGGAGGGACTGGGAGGGAATGAGGGATCGGGACATGGCTGGGATACAGAGTTAATAAAATGTAACTGATAAGAAAAAAAATTTATTTCACTATTAAAGACTGAAAAAAAAAAGAAATGTATTCACAACTGGATGTTTGAAAAAACTGGTTATGAAGAGTATGTTATAGAAATGTTTTTTTTTTTTTCTCACAGGATTATGATAACATTCACAAATGGGTGAAGTCTGGCAGCATAGATGGTAAAGGGAAAAGGATTATAAGGCCATTTAGTTCCACAGAGTTGGCCATGTTTAAATCAAAGTAGACATGCCATGTAGGCATTTTAAGCTGTATAGACTCTTAAGTTTGAAAAAGTATTTGTGGGGATGACAGTCACAAGGAGGACCCCAGGAAAGATGCTTAAATCTCATTCAGAATGGCAAACAGGATAGATACCGGAAGCAATGGAAGAGAGGAAACAGGATGGGAGCCTACTGTAGAGGGTCCTCTAAAAGGACTCACCCAACAGTAGATCAAAACAGATGCTGAGACTCAGGGCCAAACTTTTTAGACAGAGTGCAGGGAGTCTTGTGGAGGAAGAGAGGAGTGGGATTAGAAGGACATGGAAGGGACAAGAGCTCCACAAGGAGACCAACAAAACTAAAAGATCTGAGCCCAGTGGTTCCTGAAGAGACTGATGTACCAATGGAGGACCATGCATGAAGAGGACCTAGACCCCCTGCTCAGATGTGGCCAATTGGCAGCTCAGTCTCCATGTGGATCTCTCAGTAAGGGAGCAGGGGTTGCCTCTGTCATGAACTCAGTTGACTGCTCTCCAATCACTCGCCCCTGATGATGCAGGCTTGCCAGACCACAGAAGAGGATCCAGGCAATCCTGATGAGACTTAACAAACTATGGGCAGATGGCAACAGTGGAGAACTTCCCCTTTCAGTGGACTAGGGGAAGGGGATGAGGGGAAGAAGGAGGGGAAGAAGGTGGAACTGGCACAGTTGAGGGAGGGGGCTTCAATCGGGATATATAATGAATAAATTGTGAAGAAAATAATTTTTAAAAAGAATGTAAATTTATTAGGAAAGCATGTGGAAATAATTTAAATCTCTGTCTTTAATGCCAACTAACAAACACATTGGAAAGTACTTATTAATGTCATAAATATGAAGTGTTTTCTAACGCTCATGGCAGCATTAGTTCTGTAGACCATTGTAATGCATCAACATTTCATGCATGACATCTGTGGTAATGCAGATTAGCTTCCGTATAGCAGGACGTACTATATGACCATAAGCAACTTCTATATGTATCTTTTTTAAATGTAATTTTAATTTTTTATAATTTATTCACTTTATATCATGACTGTAGCCCCCTTCCTCATCTCCTCCTGACCCCACCCTCCTTCCTTCTCCCCCTGCCACCCGCTTCCTCTTCCTCTGTGGCCTGACAAGGCCACTCTGCCAGGGGTAAAAGATCAAAGAGGAGGCAACAGAATCCATGTCAGAGACAGCCCCTGGTCCCCTTACTAGGGAATCCACATGGAAACTGAGCTGCCTGTGGGCTGCATCTGAGCAGGAGGTCTATATATGTATCTTAAAACACAGTGGACATAAAGTGCCTTAATGTGCTAGAGTGAGGGAAATTTTTTTGTTGTGTTTTTATTTCATTTATTTCCCTAATTAATCCTTATAGCAAATGTGTTTTAATTATGTTTTTAAATAAAGCTATCTAGTCCTTTTTTATTCTTAAATAAATATGATATTTGAGATTCTTTTTGATCTAACTGATGTGTGCTTTGAAAGAAGTCTTAGTCTTTTCATATTAAAGGAGGAGCCTGCCCTTCCCCAGCCTCTTGTTTCCATTGCCTTAGGTTCCCTTCCACACATGGCCCTGGCCACTTTCACATGCTCCCAACACGGCATGTCAACTGTCATACTATGATATAATTTCCCAATTCTGCCTCCAGAATTTTGAGTCAAAAATAAATCTGTTTTGTTTTTTTTTTTTTAAAAAAAGACATTATGCACTTCAGTGAGTACTTGTCCAGCTTTAATCATTACAAAAATAATAATCACATATTCACTTATTCAGTCCAATAAATTAATTTTGATGCCCCTTGTGTGCCCTGATCACTCACTGTTTAATGTTTAAAACAATGCCTAAAAACAAAATATAATTGTGTACCTGTCATTAAGCTAAAAGTGTTTTTTATTCATTTTGAAATATGCAATTCTTGTATGTTTTGCCTAAAGAATAAAAAGTAGTAATTTTGTCAAACTCCAAGAACTTCCCACAAACTTAATAAAGAAAAAGTGAGATAAATTTAATCACGATAGTCACCAACCATGTTTCTAGAACGAAATGGTTTTATTACTTTGGGAATTCTCAGCAGAATTTCAAGGAAAAGGTGGCAGGTGTTCATAATTTAATTTGATGTCAGGGCAAAAATAGCCTCCACATAATTATGGATAAATTAGCTATATTTTCCTAATGATTTCACAGCAAATGCATCACGCTTACTTACTGTTCTAGCTACAAGCTGCTTTCTGGGTAGTAACATTGCCACCAACCGGTGCCTAGGTACTCTGGCCAATGCAAACAGATCAGTAAATAACTGCTGGCTACAGTTTAATTAAACGCAAATATGTATTTCAGCTAGGAAGACTGAGCTATTACACTCATCCTTTAAAGGAAGAACTGTGACTCCTATGTAGCATTTACCTGCACATTAACTACAGCGTTGAACTATTATCAGAGATAGAATTAAATAAAACAGTTCACAAAAGGTTTTCAGCTTTTGTGATGCTACATTTGAAGAACTTCACAGGTAAAGAAAATTAATATAAAAGAATTAAGTTCTTTCCATTTTATATTCTTCATAGTTAACCATAATGTTCTTTATGGTAAAAATCATTATTTTTTCGGCCTTTGTAAATTGTCTTTTACTTTATTTTTCTCTCATATAGTACAATCCAACCACAGTTTTTCCTCCCTCCACTCCTCCCCGTCCCTCCATGCTACCTTCTGTTCTTCCTCCCCAGACCCACTCTTCCTCCACTTCCTTTCAGAAAAGAACAGGTCTCCCAAGAATAGCAACTGATCGTGGCATAGCAAGTTTACAACAAGACAAGCCAAACACACGTCAAGCCAGCTTGAGGAAAGGGGTTCTAAGAACAGGCAAAAGAGTCAGAGACAAACCCCACTTCCACTGCCAGGATTTCCACAAGAGCATCAAGCTACACAACCCTAACATATATGCAGAGGGCCTTGTTCAGACCCGTGCAGGCTGTCAGCTTAGTCTCCACAAGCCCTGTGAGCCCTGGTCAGTAGCCCCTGTGAGCCTTGTTCTCGTGGTGTCCTCGAGCCCCTCTGGCTCCTACTACCCTTCTTCCCCTCCTCCTCAAGGGTCCGGATCGCTACCTAATGTTCGGCTGTGATCCCTGCATTTGCTCCATCAGTTGCTGGACGTAGCCTCACTGAATACACTGGGCTTGGCTCCGGTCTGTGAGTATAGCAGATATCGTGAGGAAGCATTTCATTGACTTTTTATATTTTTTGCCAGTCATGTTTGATTCTATCCTAGGTCTCCGGGTTATCCAGTCTATCTTTAGGAAACACATTTTGCACTTTTAAGAATTTTATAAATATTCAAATTCAAACAAGTGTTAAAAGTATGTCCACTCAATTTGGGAATTTTCACATAAAAAAAAATCTTTACACATTAAAACATGGCAAAGATGGGTTTTAATTGAAATATTCTAAAGATGAGTTTTTAAATCTTCAAAATAAACTCAGCTGCCTGAGAACAATGATAAATTTTATTTGCCTCTAAAACAATGTGATAGACATATTGTGAAATTTATCATTTTTGCTGTTATGTTGATCTATAATTCTAAATCTGGCCATGAAAGTCTAATACGATTAGACTTCTTTACTAGAGTGCACACCTTACTCTGCTTGTTATTTAGTGTATTTTCTGAGTTTTCATCTACGTCTTGCTCCTAATTCTATAGAATATTCTTCCAAATGGAAGCATGCTAACAGGTGGCTTGGAGATATGATATAAAATAGAAGTTCATAGATGTTACAAGCATCGGGTTTTTGTAAAAGAAAAAAAAAAAGATTACTCTTCCAGCAATCCCAACTATACACTTCTGCTTTATAATCTAGAATTCCAGGATTTAAACCATATAATTATACCCTTCTCGTAAGAGCATATACTCTATGAGTACATGTATTTTCTTTTTATTTCTTTATCTTCTATGTGTTTATCTCCTAAGAAAAGTTAATAATGAATCAATACAATATTGTCCTAGTGTTCATAGAAAATGATTACAGATGATGAGATGCGGTTAACAAACTTGTGAACATAATTACATAGTTACATTCTATTTGCACATAACTTAACTCACTTTTTTTCCTTTTTTTGAAGAAAAACTTAAAATTTGAAAGGCCACACTCATCTGTAGGAGCCAGAGTCAAACAGCTTCCATTTTTCTGAGAAAAAGTAACACAAAAGGAAGAAAAAACATTTAGATATTAGAAATCCTACCAAAATAAAAGTTCCTCAAACACAAATAATATTCAGTACTCCCTTCACAAAATAGGGACACCTCCCAATCAGAGTCATCAAGAGCTCATTTGAGAAGACCGATTTCAAAATAATTATTTTGAAATAAACATTACTTTTAAAATAAACATTACTCCTGAAAAAACATGCAAAGACTGAGTTTAAAGAGCTATTAAAGATTTCCCTTAATTTAGTTTAAATGATTAAGCATGGAGCACAGGTACCGAGAAGAAAATGTAGGCAAACAAAGTCGAAAAGATATTTCTGACAATGTTTTCATTTGTTCTGGGAGAATATTTTGAAATCAACTAGTTGTTTGGTCAGTCTGTAATCCAGCAGCTCACTGTACATGCGTGCTCACGATGGAAGCCTGGCATGCCTCTCTGTCAGCACAGTGCTGCAGAGACTGGTAAACAGGAAATCTAAACATTCTGTAAAGTCCAAATGGTCCTCAAGAGGGAAAACTCCACAGCTCTCATTAAATTTCATGTCCTACAGTTGTTTATTTAGAGAAAAATAAAGCACACCAAAAATGAGAGAAAATAAATAGACAGTGAATATTACAATCAAAGTCTGAAATAGACCTGCAGGAGAGATTTGCCTTGGCTTGATATCCAATGCAATCTCCAAACACGAAACTACAAATTGAGCTTAACATAAACTTTTTCTGTTTTGCTCAAAATTTTACCGAGATTACTGCTGATTGTGGTGCGCATATTCAGTATCCTATTAACTACTTCACTATGAATCAAGAAATGTCACGAACAATGTAAAAGCAAGGTTTTAAATTTTTATTTATTTATTATTTATTGGAATTTATTCACTTTGTATCCCTGCTGTAGCGCCCTTGCTCCTCTCCTCCCAGTCCCACCCTCCCTCCTTCATTTCCCCCTTTGTCCTTCCTCAAGTCCACTGATAAGGGAAGTCTTCTTCCCCTACTATCTGACCCCTACTATCAGGTTTCATCAAGACTGGCTGCATCCTCTTCCTCTATGGCCTGGCAAGGCTACACCCGCAGGGGGAGGTGATCAAAGAGCCAGCCACTGAGTCCATGTCACAGTCAGCCCCTGTCCCCCTTACTAGGGAACTTGGAGACTGAACTGCCATGGGCTACATCTGAGCAAGAGGTCTGGGTCCTCTCCATGCATCGTCCTTGTTTGGAGCATTGGTCTCTGCAGGGCCCCCTGGACCCAGATTTTTTGGCTGTGTTAGTCTGCTAGTGAAGGCCTGTCCTCAAATTATAGATATTGCTACCTCAAGATCCAGCTATACCACTCCTAGGCATATATCTGAAAGATGTACAACCATACAACAAGGACATTTGCTCCACTCTGTTTGTAGCAGCTTTATTCATAATAGCCAGAATCTGAAAACAACCTATATGTTCCTCAACTGAGGAATGAATACAGAAATTGTGGTACATTTACACAGTGGAATGCTACTCAGAAATTAAAAACAAGGAAATCGGGGGGACAAGATGGCAGCATGAGGAGAACACTGCATCTGAGGAGCAAGACAACATTTTCTGTACAGTGACCAAGAGACTGAACTCTGGGCCCTAAAACAACAGAGATCATGTTTCTGAGGTGAAAGGAAACCCCCACAACATGGGAATCAGGTCCATTCTCAGGATACCCAGCCTGAACCCGGAAGAGATCCCTGGTCAAGAAGGTACTAGGTCACCAGACCAGAGCCACAGGCCTGCGTGTCCTGATCACCTTCCCAGGCTGAACAGTGGGCACAAAAAACACCAGCATTACAGAAGCTAATAGAAGGGAAAATACAAGCCAAGAAGACTAGCTACTTTCAAGAAAACACAGGAAATAATTAACCTCACTATAGTAAAACAAACAGCAACCAAGCACACAACCTTATGATCACAGCCAACATCACAATCAAAGGAGCTAACAGCCACTGGTCATTAATCTCTCTCAATATCAACGGACTCAATTCTCCAATAAAAAGACACAGACTAACAGAACGGATGCATAAACAAAACCCAGCAATCTGTTGCTTACAAGAAAAACACCTAAGTCACAAAGATAGATACTACCTGAGGGTAAAGGGTCTGAAGGCAGCTTTCCAAGCAAATGGACCCAAGAAGAAAGCAGGAGAAGCTATTCTAATATCTGATAAAATAGACTTTCAACCAAAATTAATCAAAAGAGATGGGGAAGGACACTTCATACTCATCAAGGTAAAATTCCACAAGGAAGACATCATAATCCTGAACATCAAGGGCACCCACATTTGTAAAAGAAACATTGATAAAACTTAAACCACACATAGGTCCCCACACATTTATAGTGGGATACTTCAACACCCCACTCTCAACAAAGGACAGGTTGAAAAAACAGAAATTAAACAAAGAAACCATGTCTCTGACAGAGGCCATGGATTAAATGGACCTAAAAGATATTTACAGAACCTTGCAACCAAACAAAAAAGAATTTATCTTCTTCTCAGCACTTCATGGAACCTTCTCCAAAATATACCATATAGTTGGTCACAAAGCAAGCTTCAAGAGATACAAGAAGATTGAAATAATCCCTAGTATCCTGTCTGATCACCATGGAATAAAGCTGGACCTCAACAACAACAGAAATAGAAAAAAGACTACACACACATGGAAACTGAACAACTTGCTACTAAATGACAGCTGGGTCAGGGAAGAAAAAAAGAAATGAATTAAAGTCTTCCTAGAACTCAATGAAAATGAAGACAAAACGTACCCAAACTTGTGGGACACAATGAAAACAGTACTAAGAGGAAAGTTCATAGCACTAAGTGCCTTCAAGAAGAAATTCAAGACAGCTCATTCAAGAAACTTAATGGCTCACTTAAAAACCCTAGAAAAAAAAAAGAAGCAGACATACCAAATGGAGTAGACAGCTGGAAATAATAAAACTTGGGGCTGAAATCAATCAATTAGAAACAAATAAAACAATTCAAAGAATTAATGAAACCAAGAGCTGGTTCTTTGAGAAAATCAACAAGATCGACAAACCTTTAGCCAAGCTAACTAAAAGGCAGAAAGACAACATACAAGTCAACAAAATCAGAAATGAAAAGGGGGACATAAATACAGACTCTGAGGAAATCCAAACAATCATTAGGACTTACTTCAAAAGTCTATATGCCACAAAATTTGAAAATCTAAATGAAATGGACAATTTTCTTGATTGATTCCACTTACCAAAGAATCAGGACCAGGTAAATCAATTAAATAGATCCATTCATGTTTAAAGTCTTGGAGAGATCAGGGATACAAGGCACATATCTAAACATAGTAAAGGCAATATACAGCAAGCCTATAGCCAACATCAAACTGAACGGAGAGAAACTTAAATCAATCCCACTGAAATCAGGGAAAAGAAAAGGCTGCCCACTCTCTCCATATCTCTTCAGCAAAGTGCTGGAAGTCCTTGCTAGAGCAATAAGACAGTTGAAGGAGATCAAGGGGATACAAATTGGAAAGGAAGAAGTCAAATTATCACTATTTGCAGATGATATGATAGTATATGTGAGCGACCCCAAAAACTCTACAAGGGAACTCCTACAGCTGATAAACACCTTCAGCAAAGTGGCCAGATACAAAATTAATTAAAAAAAAAATCAGTAGCCCTCCTGTATACAAAAGACAAAGGGCTGAGAAAGAAATTCGAGAAACAACACCATTCACAATAGCCACAAATGACATAAAGTACTTTGGAGTAACCCTAACCAAGCAAGTCAAAGATTTGTATGAAAAAAATTTTCAAGTCTCTAAAGAAAGAATTAGAAGAAGATATGAGAAGATGGAAAGATCTTCCATGCTCATGGCTTGGCAGGATTAACATAGTAAAAATGGCCATCTTACCAAAAGCAATCTACAGATTCAATGCAAGTCCCATCAAATTACCAGCACAATTCTTTACAGACCTGGAAAGAAAAATTCTCAACTTCATATGGAATAACAAGAAACCCAGAATTACTAAAACAATCCTCTACAATAAAAGATCTTCTGGAGGTATCTCCATCCCTGATCTTAAGCTGTACTATAGAGCAACAGTAATAAAAACTGCATAGTACTGGCATAGAAACAGAATGGTGGATCAATGGAACCGAACAGAGGACCCAGAAATAAACCCACACACTTATGGACACCTGATTTTTGACAAAGATGCCAAAACCATACAATGGAAAAAAGATAGCATCTTCAACAAATGGTGCTGGTCTAAATGGATATCTACATGTAGAAAAATGCAAATAGATCCATACTTATCACCCTGCACAAAACTAAAGTCCAAGTGGATCAAAGACCTCAACATAAAACCAGATGCATTAAATCGGCTAGAAAAAAATGGGGGAAAAACCCTAGAACTCATTGGCACAGGAGACAACTTCCTGAACAGAACACCAACAGCACAGGCTCTAAGAGCAACAATCAATAAATGGGACCTCATGAAACTGAAAAGCTTCTGTAAAGCAAAGGACACTGTCATCAAAACAAAACGCCTGCCTACAGATTGGGAAAGAATCTTCACTAACCCTTTATCTGACAGAGGACTAATATCGAGTATATACAAAGAACTAAAGAAGCTGAAAAGCAGCAAACCAAGTAATCCAATTAAAAAATGGGGAACAGAGCTAAAGAGAGAATTCTCTGCAGAGGAATATCAAATGGCAGAGAAGCACTTAAAGAAATGCTCAACCTCATTAGCCATTAGGGAAATGCAAATCAAAACGACCCTGAGATTTCACCCTACACCCATCAGAATGGCCAAGATCAAAAACTCAAGTGACAACACATGCTGGAGAGGTTCTGGAGAAAGAGGAACCCTCGTCCACTGCTGGTGGGAATATAAACTTGTACAACCACTCTGGAAATCAATCTGGCACTTTCTCAGACAACTAGGAATAGTGCATCCTCAAGATCCAGCCATAC